AACACAGATCCACTGATCTTTCAACACAGAGCATCTTCAGAAGACAAGCTGATGAATTTAATTTTTAAAATCTGTATTGTTCGATACAAGTGTGTATTGAATCTAAAGCACGGTTCGATACGGGTACATGTATTGTTGCACCCCTACTGTTTACCTCTTGTAGATGGCTCTTTAAATATTGTCACTTTCAAGAAATACTTAAATCCTGATTGGACTGACAAACCGTAGCTAGTCAGAAATGCAGTCAAGACGAAAGTGGATTACTGCTGTCTTAAACCAACTTCAATCCCTGAAATATTATAGCAGTTTATGGAAACAGATTTACAAACATTTGTACTGCTATCAGTTGTGTGTTACCTGCATATTAGCGGTTATACAGGCACATTGAAATATGATTGTGATTTTTTGCAAGCACAAAAATGGCAGCAGCTTTTAGCTGTTGCCACTTTTACAGAACAGTTTGGTGGTATGACCAATCTCCCTTTAAGCTGCCTCTGATTGTTCATAAATCCTCAATGGAGCTGAACATGTAAGCTTTTGTTAGCAAATCAGGGTTTCTGCAGGGTCTTAAAAAGTCTAAAGTCTGAAATTTGAAAATCCAAATTTTAGGCATTAAAAGTCTAACATTCACGAAATTGTGTTAAACTCTTATAAAACTAAAAACCTATTAAAAATTATTGCCTTAGTAATACTACATATAATGCTCAATAAAATACTCCTTTGACACTTTTTTTATTGTTTTGAATAAAGTTACAACTGCAGACACACAACCTATATTGCTGCCAGTAACCTTTTGTTTTATTTGTGAGTCCACATCACTGGATGTGTAAAAATAAAAAGGAGAAGAATATGGGAAAACGCTAATTTAACACWTGGCTTCAAAGGGATGAGTTTAAGGCATCCGTTTAGTAAATTTCTTTGTCATATACAGTAGGTCTTAAGTTTAATTCTTAATAATCTTAAAAAGGTCTTATGAAAAGTCTTAAACTTGAGTCTGTGAAACCTGCAGAAACCCTGTAAATGTAGCAGKTTTGGAAACTGTGGGGCTGGTATAGCACGCTTTGAGCACTAAGCTTAAAACCTGTCATACTATATCCACCAGTCAGCTTGTTGCACACCATCTTTTTTTTGTCAAACAGGTCATTCAAAGAGCTACCTACAGATAATGTTCTTTATATCTTGTACACCAAATCCTACTTCAAAATGGCCATTATATCCCTTTAATTGGCTATGGAACAGGTTACAATTTAAGAAAACTTGTACCAATTACTTCTCTTCAAAACAAATAAATAAGCTGTTGAAACTKTGTTTTACAAAACACTTGTTAGATTTATTCAAAATTATAATAAAAAACATAAAAATCAAGTTAAGTGCCTTCCAACCTACTAGGACGTAGATGAGGGACAGACTGCACAAAATGTATGGGACTGATGACCTCTAATAACATCCATTTAATGTATTTACAACTTCCGAAGCAGGTGGAAGAGGAAATCGCTTCAGGCCACACTAACCAATAGGAACACATCTTATATAGTTGTTAGGCCCCGCCCTGGATGTTCATGTTTTCTGAATTCAAAACTTTTAAATTCATCCAAAAATCTAGTGTCAACCAAAAGTTTCAGATTCAACCAAATATTTCTGACATGCCAAAAAAGTTTTTGAAAAAAAAAAAACCTTTTGATTTATTTTTTTTAATTGAAATTAATTTTTATGATTGAAATTGCTTTTTTGTTTGATTAACCAAAAAAACTAAATTACATCCATACTTCACAACACAATTGGTTCTGTTGATATGTACTGAGAACTGTTGACCTACTAGCATAGAAGCTAAAAATWGTTTTTTGACAGAATTCGGACAGTAAATCAGAGTCAAAAGGGAAGAAAGCATCCAACAAGCCACTGAAGATACTGGATGAAGACGATGAGGATCTCAGTGCCCTGAAGGATCCCTCTGAGAAGGTCAGTGGCACTCTGACAAATTCAAAAGCTTTGAATGAAAAATCATTTCATCATGTTTGTTTAATTAACTCAAGTTTTAAAAGGTGAGCTCAGTCCTGTTTGTTTGTTTGTTTGTTTGTAGTTACTACTTAACTGGCTTCATTGAGATTAATAAGATTAAATATTGATTCATTTGGTTACAAGTTTGAATTTCTTTGAAGGACAAAGCAATTGTGTAAATAGTCTTTTCTCTTCATTTGGATCCTGGAAAAAAACTAAACTAAATATCATTTATTGCAAAAATRTAGTGGAAATGCTGAGTCTGAATGACTTTCTTGAAATTTGCTGAAGGCTGATTTGGAAAAATTACCGGTAAAACAAACTGAAATAAGCCAAAGTTAACAAAAGCATAACTAAAAAGTAAGATGAGCAAAGCTAAATGTATCAAAGCCATAAATAATAGTAAAAATTAATATAAGAAAGAAAAAATAAATGAAGTACGTTCAAGTAAATTTTATAAAATAATGTTTTGAAAAAGTGAACAGGTCTCAGTGTATGCT